TTTGAGGAGTATTGGCATTAACTCTTCTTTGAAGGTCTGGTAGAATTCTGCACTAAAACCATTTGGCTTTGAACTTTTTTTGCTTGGTAGACTTTTCATTTGTTTGTTTTAATTGGGGAATTGAGACTAATGATGTTGAAAGATCTCAATGGGTAGTGTTTGTTGATTTCTGTTATTTTGTTCTTTGTGTGTGTGTGTGTGTGTGTGTGTGTGTGTGTGTGTGTGTGTGTCTTATGATTTGGTTGTCTGAGCAGAGAGATCTGGAATGTCTTATTTTCTCCATTTATTGTGATTGAAAGTATTGAGTATAGTAGTCTTTTCTGGCATCTGTATTCCCTGAGAATCTGTAGAACATCTGACCTGTCCCTTCTGGTTTTTAGAGTCTCCACTGAGAAGTCGGTTGTTATTCTAATGGGTCCCCTTTTATATGTTACTTGGTCTTTTTCCCTTGCAGCTTTTAATATTCTTTCTTTTTTCTATACATTTAGTGATTTGCATATTATGTGGTAAAGGGAATTTCATTTCTGGTCCAGTCTATTTAATGTTCTGTATGCTTCTTGTACCTTGATAGGCATCTCTTTCTTTAGGTTTGGGAAATGTTCTCCTATTATTTTGTTGAAAATATCTTCTGTGCCTTTGACCTGGGTTTATTCCCCTTCCTCCATTTCTATTGTTCTTATATTTGGTCTTTTTTATTGTGTCCCATATTTCCTGGATGTTTTGTTCATGGATTTTATTTTTTTCTTTAGATTTTACATTTTCTTTTACCATAGTATCATAGTATCTGTTTTTTGTTATTATTGTTGTTGTTGTTTTGTTTTTTTAAATCATGTCTTTAAGGCTTGAGATTCTCTCTTCCAATTTTTGTATTCTGTTGGTGAGTTTTGCCTCTGAAGTTCTTGTTTGAGTTCCTCAATTTTTTATTTCCAGATTTTCCTCAGTTTAGGTTTTCTTAATTGATTCTATTTCTGCTTTCATGTCTTAAACTGTTTTATTTGTTTCACTCCAGTTTTTGTTTGTGCTTTCATGGATTTCTTTAATGGATTTCTTCATTTCCTCTTAGGGACCTCATCATATCCATAAAGGCTATTTTACGGTCTTTGTGTTGTGCTTCAGCTGTGAGGCAGTTCTCAGGGCCTGCTGTGGTAGGGTAGCTGGGCTCTACTGGAGACTTTGTTGTGGCTAATATTGATTGTGTTTTTATACTATTGTCCAGGCATCTGGGTTTGATTTTAGTTCTAGGTGCTGATATCTGGTCTTGTCTTTGTTGGGTGGATGTTCTTTTCCTTGGTTTCTGGTATCCTCTCTGGTTGTTAGGAGGCTGTGATAGCCATGTGTTGCCTGGTAAGGAATTCTTCTGGGATCTTGATAGGTTTGGTCACTGGAGGTTCAGGGCAACGTGTTTCTCGGGATTGGGACCTGACACTTAAGAATGGGAATGGACTGGGAAGTGGAGGTTGAAGGGGCCCACTGAAGGGAGGAAAGCATGGTGTTCCTCCTGGATCTCCTTATCTCCTGGGAACAGGTGTAGAGAGGGAGGAGAGGTCACAACAGGGAGTCTGTCACATAGCTGGGGGATTTGGAGAAGTTGAGCAAGGGTGAAGATCTGAAGTGAGCCTACCTGCTGGCTGGCCTACTTGCTTCTCTGGCAGGGTTGGCTGGTGGGTTCCAGGGAATGCCTGCTGGAGTTGGGGGCTGGTATGATAAGAGGAGTGGAGGGAAGAAAGGTTAGAGGAGAGCGGTGTGATCACCTGGAGATAGGGCGCAGGAAGGCTGTAGCAGGTGATCTCCTACAGGGCTTGGGATGAGACTAGGAAGACAGAGGTGAAAATCTAGTTAGCCTACCCAGTTCCCTGGTTGGTATCTCCCTTCTAAATTCTAGTGCATACAACTGTAACCAAATGAAACCCTGAGAATCTAGAATTACACCTGACTGCCCCACCCCCAAATACCACACTCTTCAGTCTCTGCTATTAGGAAAAGGTACACAATATTTTGTCCTTTGAAATAGTAGGAAAAACAAATCGAAAGTTGACGTTTTACGCGATGGTTGAAGAAGGGTTTTAGGGATGTCTGCCTTTCTTAAGCCTCGTTAGTGACTAATCCAAGTTCTGAATCCCATATCTGACGACAGGGGACGTGTCTACCTGTCTCTGCTGGGTCAGCTCATGGAGTCTGTCTGTGCTGTGGTAGTGAGCAAAGGAGGATAGGAAGCGGCTTGCAGAATCCACGCGCGCGAGGGAGGGGCCTGGGCTGTGTGGGTCACCTCTCCTGCAGCTGTGGAATATGTGGAAGGAAAGGAAGAAAACGTCCTGCAATAAGAAAAATGATGCTGAAGATAGAACATCTGTTCTTTCGTGTCTAGTGGATCTGCCTAAGGACAGCAGCTGTTGTCTGTTTCCTCCCCTCTGGACTCGCTCCATCCCTGATGCTAGAGGCCACTGTAAACAATGAGACCTTTTTCTAAACATTTTCAGTTGTCAGCCCTGTTTCAGCCCACACGTAAGTCCATGGTACTGGCTTTATAGGGTGCATGTTTTCTCGTGAATTTTTGTCTTAGGAAGAGTCTTACAGAATGCACCAGGCTGGCATATGTGAGGCGAAATACCACAGCCATCATGAGCAGGAGAAATAGCTTTAAAGGTATAGGGGATAGACAGCTCTCAGTAGCTCTGGGAGATTTTAGTATTTTGATGGGTTTAGTTCGGGATAGTTGAAGGGAAGACAGGATAGTGCTGTCTGAATGGTAGGAAACCTAAGGAGTTTGGCAACTGTTTCCACTCTTACTATTTCTTTCCTCAATAAACAAAAGGTTCATTTTATCAGGTTCCTCTCTGCCTGATCAGGCTACCACACTTACTAATGCTCACTTGCATGCCCATAGAGTAGATGGTCCATGGCTGGAGGAGTAGGGGCCCTACAAGTTCTAGTAGCCACAGGCTCCAGCAAGAATCCAGGAGAGAGCTGTGAGGCTGCCAGGGACCCTTGGCCTTAGCCGGTTACTCTTCCGTTGATGCTTTGAAAATCATGTTGCTGTTTAATTTTCCTAATATGTAAACAGCATGACAAATCAGGTGTTTTGACAGCAAGGTTAGGACGCATTTGCAGCACTGCCCCAACACAGGCAGATGGGCCTCACCCTCCAAGGAAGTTTTGGAACATTAAGAATCTTGGTGCATGCCTACCGTACCAATGCTGGCACTAAGGTAGGAAGATCATGGGTTCCAGGCTAGCCTGATCTTCATAGGAGGCCCATCTTTAAGTAAAATGAAAATTGTTAAGTCAAATTAAGCAAAGAAAATAAGAGTTTAATTCCCTCCCAATTTAAGCTAATAAATAGAAAAGTGTAGGAAATATGAAAGTAAGTTACAGTCTTCGATGCCATTTAACAGATGTTCCCAGAGAGGGGTGCTAGCACCAGGGGGCACTTAATCCTACTTAGGTTGTAACTGTGTCCTAGAGGAATTTACCAGTTAAAGAGCAGGCGCTCACAGAAGTAGACAGTACAAAGGAGGAGAGATGGACGAGAAGAGCAAGGCATCGCCGAAGACACCCAAGGTGCTTGCTACAATTAAGTGACCAGAAAATCAAGGAGTTCAGTTAAAAAAACAAAACCAAACCAGAGCCATCCCTTCCACAATACAAACACAACGAGTTTCCCTTGCGGCCTGTAATAGACTACATGCAAATTCTCAGCAAGTGCTTTTGTTAGCACTGTCAGTGATTGACATGCCCAAGCTTGGACGAGAATCCACAGTAGTCTACACGGTAGACTCTGCAGAGTAGAGGTGAGGTCAGATCTGAGCTAGACAGCGTGCTGCTTTGGGAACTGTCTCTATTCCTTACCTGACCACTTGTGCTTAAGTTAATGTAGCTAAAGAAATGGGTGCAAAGCATCTATAAGGTTTTTGTATGAATGAAATATAAATTGCTTGGACCATTATCTTTAGCTTGCTTACTGCTTGACTTCCAGCATTGGAATAGTTCCAGATGCATCTGTCAAATGAATAAGAAGTATAAAAGAGCCAGATTTATCAGGGTTCTCTGTTTGAAGTGTTGTCTCATGGTGGCAAGTCTCTCTCTTCTTTCACCTGTCTGGAATTAACCCCATGTGACTCAGTTTAAAAAGTGTAGGGAGATTCTGTGATAAAGATTTCTAGTCTATTGCAGTTTGCCATTGCTTGACAACATGTCCAAGGTAACCCACTGAAAAAAAAGAGGACATTTATGGGGGCTTGTAGTTTCAGAGTTTGTAGTATTTGATCAAGTTGCCTCTACTGCTCTGGAGTCTAGGATTGACACAGTGCATTATGGGAGAAGCCTGGTAGAGAAAGCTGTTCATTCTGTGACATCCAGTAAGTTCTTTCAGTAAGAGGAAAAGAAGGCTCCAGAGTTTCCCATTCTAGTAATTTAATTTTCACCCCCTGGGCTCCTCCTCTGAAATATTCCACTACCTCCCATGTGCTAGCCAAGCTTACATAAGCTTTTGACACAAACCATTTGGAAAGTGGGAACCACAATTGAGAAAATGCCTCTACTAGATTGGCCTGTGGGCAGTGCCCCCCCTGGACTGGTGGACCTGGGCGCTCTGAGAAAGTAGGCAAGTCAAGCCATAAGGATCTAACCAGTGAGCAGCACCCTCCGTGGCCTCTGCACCAGTTCTTGCTGTCGGGTTCCTACTCTTGATTCCGTCCCTGACTTCCTTGGATGATGACCTGCAAGTTGTAAGATGAATAAACATCTTCTACCACAAGTTGCTTTTGGTCATGGTGTTTTACCACAGCAATGGAAACCCTAACTGAGACATCCCAACAGCACTAGACTGGAGAACAGGCCTTTAACATAAGGGCATTTGCGGGAACATTCCAGACCCAAACTACAGCAATGCTGAAAGGAAAAATAAGTAAACAACATGTTCTGTTTCCCTCCAGAGAAGAGAGTCTTATGACTGACTGCTGTCTTGGTTCACAGCTTTATTTTATTTTCTTCTCTTCATTAAGGCTGCTGTGGTGCCATCTGCCCAAACCCTTAAAATTACTGACTTCAGCTTCAGTGACTTTGAGCTGTCTGATGTGGAAACAGCACTGTGTACAATTCGTATGTTCACTGACCTCAACCTTGTGCAGAACTTCCAGATGAAACACGAGGTAGGGAAGGCAGTGATGCCTTTGATAAAGGTGTGCATGTGTGCATGTGTGATTAACATACCTCGCCTAAGGAAAAAAAACTGTCGTTAAAAACACATTCATTAAGCTGGGTGGTAGTGGTGGACACCTTTAATTCTAGCATTTCAAAGGCAGGGACAGGCAGATCTCTGTGAGTTTGAGGCCAGCCTGGTCTACAGAGTGAGTTCCAGGATGGTCACGCCTACACAGAGAAACCCTGTCTCAAAAAATGCCCTACCCCCACCCTCAAAATGCATGTATTGGATTCCTACCATGTGTCAAGCACCAGGTTGAAGAATGCAGGAGGATTTTACTCATAGTGATAGAAGTGCAAAAGCAGGTGGCAGGAGGTGGTGGAACACGGGGAAGGTAGAGTGGCCAGAAAGGCTTCTGGAAGGTTGAGTAGAGCACCTGGTAAACTGTCAAAGGGGACTAGCTCTCCTCCTGACAACAGTGGCCATTCACTGAGTAGTTCCAAGACTGGAAGTACCTTGACATCATTGCCAACTTTGGGATAACAATGTAGAATGGACCAGCACCGGGGGCTTGTGAGGCCAGACTACTCAAATCTCCACAGAGCAGAAATAAGACCCTTTGAGCCCCAGTCTCCAAATACAGATTCCTATATAAAACTTGCTGTCTTCAAGGCTTTTATAATTCTACTTAGCCCTCCATTAATCCATACAATGAATAGTTACTCACATGCTCTTTGTGATTCCAATGATGCGTTGACCCTACTCTCAAAGGCCTCACAGTATGGAAAGAAAACTGAGGGTGAATGTAATTAAGACTAATAGAGTGTCATTTATGGTCTTGGAGAATCTGATTCTTTCTCATATTACTTTTTCTTCAATGAAAATCAAACAATACAAGTGAGCTAATAATGAGTCTCTCTTGCCTGAGTGTTAGTTCAGGGGGGATGGTGTATTGTTTGATTATTCCAACAAGCTCTTGTGAATGAATCTCATTCAGAGATGAGGAAACCAAGCCATCATGGAGTAGAAATGTCATGGATTTCAGCGGTGGTCAGTACTCATTCCCCTGGGCAGATTATCTCCCACATTCTATTTCATCACCTCGTGGAGTAAATGGTGTCATGGCGCCATGGAGTCTGTATGAATTACATGTTCATCTGTATATTACATGCCTGTATATGTGTGTGCTTGTAATAGTCTGTGTAATCCACAGAGAGAGAGAGAGCATGTCAATTATCCCGTTTAGGCCAAATTTGACTTTGCTAAATCATCATCAGATTTTTCCAATAGAACTCACTTTAAAAGTCTGCCCTGTAAACGTGGTAAGTGCACATCTAGAGTTAGAAGTCCTTAGTATGGATCACAGTTTTCCTTCTTAATACTTTGATCAGATCCATGTGTTCCTGGAGTGAGCACATCTGTAACTAACAATGACTCTCTTCCAAGGGCTTGGCTAGAATGCAAGAATGTGATTCTTTCTGTAAAACTCCTGTTGTTGGTTTACTTTTTGTTTGGCTTATGGGTAGCATTTGAAGATTGGGGAATATAGATTCTCAGTTTTCCTACCTGTTTCTTCTCTAGATCATCCAGTTTCCTTTTCTTTTTAGGTAACCCCTATCTTAATGTCAGAAAATAAACAATTGTATGGTAATTTCAGTACCATACAAAGAAACAGAGTAAAAGTAGCTCGTCAAGGCTGGTTCCCCCCCCCGGAACAAATGGAACAGGAGGACCCAGACTGGGCTAGTCAGCACACAGGGGCAGGAAGTTCACGCCATTTTTATTCTAAAACAGATGGTGACTGTGTTTTCCCCATTGGCTGGCTTCTGACCTCACAGTCGTTGAGATTAGTTAGTTTTAAAAGACCCAGTGCAAAGGAAATAATGGAAGATGCTGTGTTGCCCCAGACAGTAGAGTTCCAGAGTAGAGGGAGCCTTTGCATAAACAAAAGTTTTACCAGGTGAGAGAGATTAAAATATTTGCATAAAAGTTCTACAAGGTGGGGAGATTAAAAGATTTTAATTCCTTTTCATAAAACTTTTACAAGGCGGGGAAGATTTATGGAATATTGGCACTCTGTGAATTAACTTTGATAAAAAACAAACAAACAAACATCTTTTACATTTATTCCAGGCACCATCAACCAGGCTGTTAGGATTACTGTGGTTGGATTTTCTGCCCAAGTATCTAGTCTTCTTTTATTTCAGGGATTATTGTCAGTATAATTTTAGGTGGAGAGGGTGCCCCTACCAAGTCATTTCACAGCGAATGGTAAACCTCCAGTCAGCATTAATTTATGCTGGTGGCAGCCATTGTCTTTTACTGGTCTCTGAAACAGTCCACTTTATTAGGACAACATGTGTTAATTGTGTTTCCATCCATACCCCATGAACTGTGTTTTGCTGCACTTCATGCCATGGTCACTGGGGAACGTAGGTCTTTGTCGCAGGTTCTTAGTCATGTAGGACAAGAATCTTAAAACAGACTCGGAAACTTGGGGTCGTTTTATCAGAGTTGACGAGAAATCGCAGGAAAGGCAAGTTGTAGGTCTCAGCACTGCCAAGAGCTGAGGACTAGAGAAGGCAGCTTTGTGAGTGGGTTAAGAAGCCACACGGGCTTGGCAATAGAAGTCTGTGAGCAGCTCTGGGAGAGGAGGCGTCTTCAGAGGGGGGAAAACGCCTGTTGTGCCAAGTGTAAGCAGGGTTAAGATTGGGGTCGGTTTGGTTTGGAAGGAGGAGATAGGAAGAAGGAAAACGTTGCAGGCCCGGCAGTGACTGGATGATCACGGCATCTGTGGCAATGGCTTCTGTGGTCTGAGTGCACATCTTCTCTCTTCTTAAGGGGTCCGTAGGTGCCTCATCTTTCTTCCTACCTCCTGGCTGCCCTCTTGGAATCCTAAGACTATCTTTCCCTCTTATAGACAGTCTTTGGCCTTCCTCAAATGTGTTATCAACCACTGGCCAAGCCTCTTTACTGATAATTAACCTGTAGCTTCCTTTAGATTCTAATGCTCTTCCCTCCCCCAGAGACTCAGGAGAAGGAGTCCAATGTCTGTTGGTTGGAGGGGCCCATTGGCAAAGGGCCCCAAGCTGATATGTTTTACCTGATTCCCAAAAGGATCCCAAGCTGATAACTTTTACCCAATTCCCAGCAAGGGTTACTTTAGCCATGATTCAATTGCAGAATATGTATACATATTTAATAATAGCTTTAGGTTTTGAACTAGTGAAGGACATATTCAGACGTTGATTGTCCAGTTTTTCCTCATTATTTTTCTTGATGGTTAATTAATCACAAGAGGTTTTCTACAGAATGCCAATGCATACTCTTAAAACATACCAAAGTAAAACTTGTGGCTTTCATTTAAAATCCCCCTATGGTAGCTGATTTCCCATCTTTCCACCAGAGTTCAGAAATATCCAGAATAAGGAAATCTTTATGAGATTTCAGTGCTGAGTGAGCACATTCCCACTGCGGGCACACATACCCACTTACACATGGGCAATGGCAGGGACCTATGCTCAGAGATCCCAAGGTTCTTTATTGGAGAATTCCCTGGGAACAGAACCACAGAACTAGAAGGAAAAGTCCTAGAAAGAAGAGTGGTTATCCCAAGTTCTCTGACTGAGCAGCTCCTACCAATTGTGAAGAGACTCGGCTCAGCCCCCAGAGCCCATCTCAAGGCTGGACAGTTTCAAAGCTGCGTTCTTTCCCCTTGTGCTTTTTCCAGTCCCGAGGCCATGTTCTTTGTGTTTGCAACATCCCCAGTGACACACTTGGGGACAGCACTTAGAGAACGATGATTTTACAAAAATAGAGTAAACCATTGAGGTTTTAAGAAAGGCAGCCTGGTAACACAGAATGACCATGCTTATGCCCTGAGTCCCTGAGGAGCTTATGTAATTCTCCACTTAGAAGTTAACTTCAACCCAACTTGGGAGCGCCTTTCCTCCCCCCTCCCCGCTCCCTTCCCATCTTTTAAAATAAGTGTTTCCATATGGGCCCCAAGAGTTTTCCTTTACATACATTGTCTCCAAATTTTGATGTCTTGGTCGGTAGACATTAACTGTGCCTAACACTTAGGCAGAACTCAAAGTGTAGAGAGTAAAGATCTAATGAAGAGGGCATGAAGACCTGTGATTCCAGTCTGTCCTGAGCCTTGAGCTAGATTCCCAGCCCACCTTAGATCCTTGCACACAAGTGTACAACTTGAGAGCACTAAGAGAACCCATCCCCCAACACTCATGCACACAAGACTCTGGATTCTAAGGAAGACAAGGAGGGATGTTTTTTATAAATGTAGTTGGTATCCTACCCATGACAAAATACCTTTCTTTGAGATATTATCCATTTCTCATCTGATTTAACTAGGTTAGCTGGGTTGGTTCTATATTAAACTGGTAATATTTTAATTCTGGCTCCACCCCTTATGAACAGCCACCATTGACAGGTTACCTGTTTGAGTGTAGTTTCTGTCTTTCTTTTTCTTTCTTTTTTTTTTTTTTTGGTTTTTTGAGACAGGGTTTCTCTGTATTGTTTTGGAGGCTGTCCTGGAACTAGCTCTGTAGACCGGGCTAGCCTCGAACTTACAGAGATCCACCTGCCTCTGCCTCCCGAGTGCTGGGATTAAAGGCGTGTGGGATTAAACGCCCGGTCTGTCTTTCTTTTTTCTCTTTTTAAAATATTTATTCATTTTTTCCTAACATCTTTATCGATTATTTGGGAGTTTCACATAATACCACCTGATTACCTCCGCTTGCCTGACTTCCCAGGTCCCCCCCCCCCCCCCCCTTGTGACCTTCTCTAAAGGAGAGAAGAGGGGAGAAGCAGTCCAGTTTGTACTGCTCATGTACTCACTGGAGTGTGGGAAAGCTTCCAGGTGACAGACCCTTAGATAAAACTGAGTCTTTCCCCACCCCACCCCGACAGAAGCCATCAGCCATGAAGAGCGAGTGTTAGTTTCGTCCTTTGTGAAAGGATTGGAATAGTCATACGCCCTTCCCTCGTGGTTGTAAGGAATTGAGCTTGAATGATGTAAGGTACCTAGAACTTAGAAAATGAAGACTAACTTGGCAATTCTTGTCACTCCGTATCCTTCATTTCCTAAAGGTTCTCTGCAGATGGATTTTAAGTGTTAAGAAGAATTACCGGAAGAATGTTGCCTATCACAATTGGAGGCATGCCTTTAACACGGCACAGTGCATGTTTGCTGCTCTAAAAGCAGGCAAGATTCAGGTACTCAGTTTACAGCATGTCTCTTCGAATTCTTTAGAATGTGCAGCTCTGATCATTGACTAATTTACCACATAGTGACTCATGGTTGGTTGAAGATTAGCACCAAAGGATAGTTGGTTACTGTACTCTCATTTGTAATAAATATGAGGAAGTAAAAATCTTCCTCTTTCATGCTACATTTTAGGAGTCCTTGGGCAAATAAAGATTCCTGTCAGAGGAAGACACTAAAAGAAAAATAGTACATTTATCATAGTCACAGCCAGCTGCTCCACAGTGGAATTACTCGACACTCACCAAGTGCTTTCACAGATAAGCTCATAGTTATCTATCCTACTCTGTGTAGAAGGGCTAGTTGAGACAGGTTTTGGTTTCATGGACATTGATCAGAGACTGAGTAAAAGGAAAATCAGTGCAGTAAGTATTTACTTAAAGCATTGATTTCCAGCCAAATCCTGTTACATATCTGTCCTTAGATTCCATCTTCAGAGGGAATTGACTAGTTATTCTGAGTGATTCTAGACATCCATTACAGAATTTAAATTCAGAGCCTCCCAGCTTTAAAAAGGAAATTTAAAAAACTATTGTTCTCTGTCATATATCCCACTTTCAGGGGTTACACATTTTAAATGACCAATTTTAAAATAAATGACTGAACTTGGGTTTAGCTTAGCAATGGAATGCTGGAATAGCCTGTGTAAAACCCTGAATTTCATCTCTGCATATAGAAAATAAATAAAAGAAGCTGTACAAAATAACACACTGCTATTTCACTCCTATAGAAACATTTCTAAGACCAGAATAAACTTACTTTGGGTCATGCAAGAATCCTAAGATTATCACCACTGAAAGCTGCCCCTAGCTTTCGTGATGAAGAATGAGATGATGTTTTTCACACCTGCTTCAAAGTTTATCCAGTGGAATGGAGTGGCTTGGCAGTTTAGCTTACATTTCCTTACTGATGAAGGGAATAGCACTGTAAATAATATAAGTGGCACATACTGAAAAACAACCAATATGTAGCTTGGGAACATTTACAACTTTTGAAAGCCAATTTTCCCCCAGTAATCCCATTTCTACTATTTTGTTTAATACTCATGTTGTCAAGATTCCTTAAGGATATGGCAGCCAATCACAGAGAGCAAAGCAATGGTTACAAAAATACAAGAGAAAGAGATAGTTAAAGTTTATTACAATCATTCCACATGTATTAAAAATAAAGATCGTGATTAGCTGTTGTGTGAAGATTATTCTTCTTTTCACTTGAAAAACGTTATGTAATGAGTGTGTGTATTTGTACGCACATAGGTCATGATACGTGTGTGGAGGTCAGACGACAAATTTTGGGAGTCAGTTCTCTCCTGCCACTGTCCATTACCGGAACGGAACTCACGTGGTTGGGCTTGCATAGCAAGTACTGTTACTCACTGAGCCAGCTTACTGGTCCTACATTATTCGTTTTTGAAGCATTTCAATTTTTCTGTTGTTTAGTGACATTTATAATAGCTCATTGTGGATGACAGTATAAATGCTCACCTATAGATCTGCATTCTCTGTGACTGCACGGAAGTACAGGAATAAATGCTGAAAAACCACAGGAGAATGCCCTGCCCATGCTTTCTTTTTCTTTTTCTTTTTCCTTTTCTTTACATCAATGTCTTTGCACACAGAACAAGTTGACGGATCTAGAGACACTTGCCCTGCTGATTGCTGCTCTAAGCCATGATTTGGATCATCGTGGTGTGAACAACTCATACATACAGCGGTAAGATTGTTTCTCCAATAAAACAAGAAGATATGTCCTCCAATGACTGAACTATGTTTTACGTTAGGGCTACCACAAAAAAAAGGCTACAAAATACCAGTTGGTTAAGTTTCATTATGTAGTCTAGCTATGTTTAAGGAAAATAGGAAGCAAACACAAGTGTAATATTGATCTCATTCAGGCCAGAAGTTCAAACGGTGTTTATGTTGAGATTCTTATTACATAATTACTGTGAGTTTTTCTTTTGTTTTCTTATACCCAGCTTAAGAGCTTCTTCAGAAAACTACAAAGAGTGTCCAGAAGGGGTAGAATTTTTACCCTGGAGTACAAAAGACAGTATTTAGAAAAGTGCTTAGCTTTCCAGGTTAGTCGAGGTTACATCACAGAGGGTTTGAGAACTTGATCTCTGTGGTCAGGCTGTAGCTCTGCCAGAGTTCCCGTGTAGCCTTGAATGAGGAAACTGATTCCTCCATACCTAATTTCCTTTAAAATGGAGATAATGGCATTCCCATAACCCAAAGTTAGTGTAGGTTCTCAGAGACCACACACATCGCCACCAAGTGGAAGGTTTGTCGTATATTGTGTTAAATTCTAGCCATAGTTACTAGAGTTGTGTCAAGTGTGATACTCTCACTGGCTGATCTTAAGGGTGAGATTCTAACTTCTGAAACAAGAATTTGCAGGTACCTTCGGGGACTAACACTTATGTGGTGTTTTGTGATGACAACTGAGCTGTTAAAACTAATAGTATTTTTTTCATCAAACCCCTGTTGCTGGCCCATCTTCACATAGCAATTGGTTGAGAAATCTATGTTTTAATGGCAGAATCTCTCACTGTGGAGCCTCTCTGTAAGTGAGCCAGTCTCATGGGGGATCCCATCTGTCTCCTGGGAGTGTGAGAAAGCTCTCTAGTCTCTGTCCTTTTATGTGATAGACAGAGATAGAGATAGACTTCCTGTAAGAATTCTAATAGTGCACAGCCATGCTCTGAGCTGCCCTTCACAAAACAAGATAGAATGCCCTCGCCCTGTCCACAGCCTGGCTGTTTCCATCTGAAAACCTGGAGATTTGGAGAAGTAACTAGGTGACATGTTCTTTGTCTCTGTGCTTTATTTGTGATCCTGAGTGTCACATAAACATTATTAACAAAAGGGAGCAGCAACAGGAAAGGTTCCACAGTGTGATCAGTCCATGTAGCATGACTATACTCCCTGCCTAGCTCAGAAAGGAACATCATGTTATTAGTATATATACTCTCAGTTGTAGAAATTGCTATCATGTTGCTGTATGTAAATGAAGAAGAAAAAATTGCAACTTTTTTCTTTCATTTAAAAATAACTAAACTTAAAAAACAAAAGCAAGCAAACAAACAAAAAAACTATTATTACCCAGAAGAACTTCTGGAGAAATGGCATCTTCTCTTTAGGTTAAAAAAAATCCTGGGGATGGCGCTGGTGTTGGGGGAACATAACACAACACAACACATAGTTTCTTTCACACAAAGTAGATGTTAACCAAGCCATAACTCTTGAAAAAGCTAAAGCAGTTCAGAGCCTTTTATTTCTGACCACATTCCTGTTCTGTGAGTAAAAGAAAACAGGCCTTTTTCTTTCCTGACTGGTAATGACTGGTACTTAAAGTAGGATTTTCTTCGCAAGTGGGCACTTGAGGCAGTAAAGTACTGTAAGCTCCCTGTATAAAGTTCTGTCTTCTAGAGGGACAAATAGTACCCAGGACCCATGAGGTATCCATACTGACACATAATAAAAAACAGAAAAACAAGTAAAAACGAGGTAGAGAAATAAGAGCAGTTAGTCAGCAAGAAGGGGGTGCCCCTGGGTAATGGAAGGGGGTGTTCATGGGTAATGGAAGGAGGTGTTCATGGGTAATGGAAGGGGGTGTCCCTGGGTAATGGAAGGGGGTGCCCCTTGGTAATGGAAGGGGGTGCCCCTGGGTAATGAAAGGGGGTGTCCCTGGGTAATGGAAGGAGGTGTTCATGGGTAATGGAAGGGGGTGCCCCTGGGTAATGAAAGGGGGTGTCCCTGGGTAATGGAAGGAGGTGTTCATGGGTAATGGAGCCAGAAACTGAAATCTTCCTTTCTCTTAAGTGACTTTGAGAAAACTACTTTGAGATAAGGCTTTCCTTGAGTAGGAAGCTATCCCTTGGCCTACTGTTGTCCCTCCCTCCCTCCCTCTATTAAGAAGACTGCCATCACCAGGGGTCCCACTGGTTTCCTGTGATATATTTAAGTAGTCTGCTCTCAGATGAACTGCGAGTGTGAGCACTGGTATAGACTGTGGCTATAGCTCAGTAGGTAGCTTGTTTGCCTAAATATGCCTCAAGCCCTGGGTTTGGCCCTCAGCACCTTGTAAGACAGACTTGGTGATACTCTCAGGCAGCAGAGTCAGGATATCCGGAGCTCAAGATTAACCTCAGCTACATAGCAAGTGTGCGGCTAGCCTGAGCTACATGTGTCTTTACCTCAAACAGTAAAACAAAATGAGTGATGGTTAGAGCACAATAACTGAAGTGCAAACATTCACTTAAAATTAGTTATAAAGCTTGCATTACAGAGAAAGTTTCTGCATCAGGCCTATAGTCAGTATCGTAGGTCTTGCAAGTGTGTTTATTTGCTTAGTTTCAACTCTAATGATGTTGCACAAATAAATAAAAGACCCAGAGGTAGATATTGGGGTTCAAGCTGAAGTTCAGAAAAGCAAAGCAGCTGGTCACTAGCTCTTACTCTACCCCAGACTAAAAGGGCAGATCCTGTCTCCACGAGATCTCCCCAAACTACAGACTGCTGCCTCTCCTCAGTGTGGCTGGAGAATCCTGAGACTGGATGTCTTCCTCTCCTCAGTGTGGCTGGTGATTGAATCTGATGCTTGATCCTGTCTTCCATGCCTCCCTAATACTGGGATTAAAGGTGTGCGATCCCAGGTGCTGAGATCATCTTTGTGTGAGCTGTTTCTCTTTAGGACTGGATCAATCTTGTGTAGATCTGGGTGGCCTTGGACTCACAGAGATCCATCTATCGCTTAATCCTGAGTCCTTGGATTAAGGTATATACCACCACCTCCTAGCTTCTGGCTGCTGGGATTAAAGGTTCTGTGTCTTGTGAATAACTTTGCTTTCTGAATCCTCAGGCAAGCTTTAATAAATCATAAATAATATATCACACATAATGATTATAAAACAATTCAGCAAAAATAAGCTGTATGTTAGGCTTATGCATAATGAACAATCGCCAGAGTTTTGTTTTTTTGCTAGGCAGAGGGAGAGCTAAATGTTCTTGCCTGCAGTTCCTGATCCTTGAAATGACAATCAGTGAAAGAAATTATTCACTGAGTCCAAAGTCATCTAATGAAGTAGACTTCAAGTGTCCATCAGAGAAGGAGATTGGTCAAGCATAGTGTAGTCTACATCCATTATTCATAGAGAATACGAGACTTAAGCTGGATGCTAAGAAGTAGGTGGATTTTCAGACAAAGGACAAAAATATTCCGGGATGCTGTGAAGTAGGCATTCCCTGGAACAGTAGTGGTAGACCAGCAAGAAAATAGATAAGCATGAGTCTCAAGACCCCCTCACGGGAGGGATGTAACACTAAGCACTATATACCAAGATTGATAGAATGTGTAAAAGGAATTGTTGTCACAGGCAATGAAAACATTATTTAGGAAGAAAGTCATGGCATGAACCACATGGCAAATGGATTGAAATTAGAACCCCAGAGCTCAACTAGAAAACTGCCACAACAATCCAGGTGTAAACAAGCACACTGAGTAGGGGCGGGGGGGGGGGCAAAAGAATGATGTGAATTTCATGTAGGGATGCTAGATATATGCATGAAGAAAGGAGAAAAAGCCCATGGCTTCTAGTCTAAAAAACTAGAACACTGGTGCTGTGATGAGCGCGAAGGGGAACGGAGTTTCCAACCCAGGGAGGGTCCCTGTGGCTGACAGGCAGAATCAAGGATGCTGTTTGTAGTGGTGAAAGAGAATCCTGGGAGACGGCACTGTTTTCCTCACGAGACGTTTATTTTGAATCAGTTTCTAAGGCTTTCTGTTTTTTATGTAGTTTCTAGTAGCACTGTCCAAGATAGACCAACAACTGTGCAGGACAGGAAAATGCAAAGCAAGTATGCCAGTTCATTAAGGCTCGCTGACATCAGCGTGGGAATAAAATTCCACAGCGGTAGTGGTTTAAATAAGTCCTTCTGGTGGGCCTCAAATAGAGGCAGCATGAATACATTGGTTTCCATGCTTTTTTTTGTAAACAGGAAATCTGAGGCATTTTTCACCCATCGCTTGATTCATGAATTTGTATTTTTAGAATGTAAGTAAAGACAAACACATTTTGGCATTTGTCTGTCTCCCAAGCCAAAATCCTCTCTAATCTGAAGCAGTTCTTTCTGCCTCACCTAAAATTGTAAAGTACGCTTGAAGTTCTAACTGGTTGGTATTATATCCACATAATAGAATTTCCCGCACCAGCTCTCAACTAGGTCAGTGAATAGATACTGCGTAGAGCCTTGTGGCATCGTGACAGTGAGGTAAGGAGAGGATATACTTGAGATCCAGGTCTGTCATTTATATCATCATTGAGCAAGTGAGATAATCTGTCTGAACATTTGGTTATCTATCGAACAAATGCACAAATGCCTGTTTTATAGCACTAGGCCTCGGTTTCTCTGGAGCCTTCGTTGGAGATAAAAGTTGGTGGATGCATAGCTTACTGGTGAATAGGACCCCAGAGAACACAAAGGAAGGCCTGCTATGAACCAGGGAAGGAGGATATTACCTAGATAATACACATATATGAACTTGGTACTTGGTCCTGCCAGAGGTGGTTTGGAGGAACCTTATGTGAGGAGACCCAGAGCCAATCAGCTTTAAGGCAGAAGGCAGTTGTCTGGAAGACCCCTCACCCGCAGTGGTCTCAGGCCTTAACTCATGTATGTCGCTCAATGTGCCTGCAATTCACTTCTGTGGGCACCAGCTGTGGGGTCAGATGAGCGATTGCTAGGGCAGGCCAAGACAAAAAGAGAACTTTCTGATTGGCACCTGTGTCTAGGCTGCTAAAGGGTGAATGAAACACTGTAGCAGTGGCTGAAGTAGAGGCAGGTGTGAGATTCTGATTCAGTGTTTACGTATGCAGTGAAATACAGTAATAATAAACCAAGTAGCACAGTGCCCGCCATGTTACAGGCGCTTAACAAATGGAAACTGTTATCACTAGGGAAGACAAATGTCAGCAAATTCAAATGGTTTATTGTCTGATGAGGTGAAAGATATAAAGGCAGCAACACCTGCTGAGTGAATCTAAAACAAAGCTGACAATATGTCCTCTAACTTTTGTCTTAAGTTTTGTGCTTTACTTTTACATGGGTTGGTTGGTTGGTTGGTTGACTGATAGGTTCCAGAACAGGTACCCATCTTGTATCCTAGACTGGCCCCTAACTAAAGCTCGTCCAGCCTCAGTTTCCCTAGTGTACCACCCTGCTTTCATGCTCTTTAATTCTTTTGTAAGTGAGAATAACAGACACCTGAAAGCCCTGTCTTTTATTATACCTGAAGTGAATGAGGGAAGTGATCTTTATGCTAGTAAAGTTGACTTTGATATGAAAGAACAGAGAACGGCCTTCCATGGAGAAGAACAGGGGTCTATGGAGAAGAACAGGGGTCCATGGAGAAGAGTGGGGGGGTCTATGGAGAAGAGTGGGGGGTCTATGGAGAAGAGTGGGGGTCTATGGAGAACAGGGGGTCTGTGGAGAGGAGTGGGGGTCCATGGAAAGAGTCAAAGGGAAGGTCACGGACCCTCTTTATCATAGCCAGCTCTCATCCCAGGCCGTGACCCTGCCAGCCCCAGTGTGCTCCACCTCCAGATCAACTCTCAGACAACTCTCTTCTGGCTGCCACCACTTTAACTGAGGCACTCTTTCTTAAGCCACTCTAGGTGTCCCAGAGTGCCCTAACTGACTCCCGGTGGTCCACACATCACAGCAAACCATTTTCAACCAATCCTTTCGGGAAACTCAGTTCACTGTCTATTCATTTGTACCTGGAGCACAGCTCCCAGTTCATAGTACAGGTCATCAAATAGAGGTGGCGTGAAAAGGAAAAGTGGCCAAGGATTGGGACAAGTTATGCCAGTAGCGGCATTAAATCAGCAAGATAGGCCACAGTAAATCAGCAAGATAGGCCATGGTTTCAACACCAGGAATAGGCAAGGTTTACACATTCTCCCGACTTTATCTGCAGCTCGTGTTTTCCCATAGCATCGATTTCTATTTCTCGCTGTAACCACTTTTTCACTGCATATTATTAGCTCTGGGTAGATTTTTTTTGAATGAACAAATAAAATGGACTGCCATACACCAGCGCATAGCAAACCGTTCGATTTTCTAGCACTAACGTGGGGCTTTGAGACTCATAAGCTCCATTGCTATAGGTTTTAAGAGCAAAGAGTGACAGAGTGCCTTCGTGTTAAGAAGGACTAGTGGCAAGTGTGGCTTTCCACAAGGTGAAGGGTCATGAGAAATGAAGTGGTAGACTCTTCCTGTGGTGCTGTAGAGCTGTGACACTGTCCCCACATCCAGCAAACAGTGCGGTACCCTCCCCCTCAGTTTACCCAGAAGGAAGTCTTCCCTGCTTCTCTGAGTTCAGCTTAGACAGCTTACAGGCTGTCCTGCACTCAAACAACCCTTGTGACTCAGCGTCCTCCTTCCTGCCTCCCCCTCCCTCACCCCCACTCCCCCCTTTACAAGGCTGTGTACTTACTGTCTGCCTTTGTCTTGCGTTCCATCACTCATACCCAGTTAATCCCATCTCAGTGGCTTCTTTCCTTATATGTAGACACACACACGGATAAGCTAACCTTCAGCCCAAGCATTGGTTTCTGAGGAAACGGCAACTATGGACTCGCTCTAGATTTTAAGCCAATTGCCTGTTGAAACTGAAAACCAATACAATAATAACACATAGGTATTGTGGAGTGGTACATGGCTGTGCCTAGGGCTAGCAGTCTTCTGCCCTCATCCCTCACATCTGCTGTCTTCCATAGTCAAACCAGTGTCACTGGTCTTTGAACCAGCCGCATCATTATTTGAAAACAGTTTGCGTCAGTATTTATTTCTGAGAGATTACCCCGCTCTCCTCAGCAGGGGAGAAAATTATTAGTGTGGTTAGCTTTGAGATAATTTCAGTTAATAATAATAATGAATTGGTGAAGTAACGTATTTTGGAGCTTCTTGTTTCTCTCTTTCTTCAACATAATCACTCAGAAGTGAACACCCGCTGGCCCAGCTGTACTGCCACTCCATCATGGAACACCATCATTTTGATCAGTGCTTGATGATTCTAAATAGCCCAGTAAGTACATCGTTTATTGTTGTGAATCTGAAAAGAGAGCTTTATAAATGCAGTTTTATTTTTAGGTTTTGGACTCATTCCCAGCATCATAAATTCTCGAACATTCTCTATTCCTTTTTGGGTAAGGAAGGAATAGCCCAAACATTTGGCATCTCTACAGCCTCACTCCTGGACGGTAAGAACCACCCAGTGATGCCAGTGAAGAGAATTTGATTACTGATCTTTGATTGCTCCAAACTAGAAACAAAACTGGTGACTTGTGGCTGTTGCTTGACTTTTTAAACAGATGAAGTGGTACATAGGGATCACTTTCTGTTCCTTCTTTTTCTTTTGACTGTGCTAGGATAAAACCTAAGACCTTATACCTACTAAACGGGAGCTTTTCCCTCTCAGTTGTACTCCAGCCTCTGTCTTATGGGAGCTTCTAACTGCTCACAAACTGTCTTCTCTAGGAATGAGAAAGCTATTGGACCACGTGGACGTGAATATTAGTAAATGTAAGAAAACATGTGCTTCAGTTTTCTAAGTGAACACACATGTTAAGGAGTACAACGTTAGCAGAATGAACACTAGCTGGATTGAGTTTGTCTAATGAAACCATTGGCAGTTTTATCTTTCTTATTGTGTTATTAATTATCCACATTATTTGTTGACTACCTGTGTTAACTTTATAAAGAAAAAAAGGAAGTATTTCCTATTTAAATAGTCACAATACATGCTACATAACCCCAGACAATTTTATCATAATGTCTTCATGTTTGCTGGGGTTGGGTCTAGTCTTTTCCCTGAATGCTAGAAGATCATGGAGGGTCACATTCTGGTCACTATTATTAGGTCTAACCATAAAATACACGATTCTCAGGTCACAAACCAAAATGGCCACTCCAGGATAATAGTTCACACTGTGAGGCCAATTTATTCCTTTACTGCCCCACAAGCATCTCTTGTTCCTTACTATGCATTTCTACTACCTCCTTTCTTACTCCCAAGCTTCTGTATAGTTTCCTGTCTCTTCAGCCAGATCTTAGGAAAGTAGAGTAGGCAACGAAAGGGTTTTTCCTAACAGACTGACATTTTGAGTGTCCCTCTGTTGTAATTTTAAAAAGTGGGTTATTGGGGGTAAGTGAATGGGAAGATGGGGGAGGGGGAGGGGAGACCAGTCTCTGGGGACAGGAGCTGCAGAAGAGAAAGGCAGAGAGAGAGAGAGAGAGAGAGAGAGAGAGAGAGAGAGAGAGAGAGAGAGAGAGAGAGAGAGAGAGAGAGAGAAGGGAGTAGTGAATGTGCACAGGTGGTGCTCTTAGTGACTGCAGCTGAGGGCGTGTCCTGTCAGAACCCAAGGGCAGCCCAGTGCAAATGCCTAAGAACTAACATCTACTCTTTGTACCTGATAGGGATTGGTCATTTTATCATCTCTGCAGAACACCCTCATTGTAAACATACCCCACAACAGCTACAGATTGGCCAGCCAGTCTGGTCTTGCCTTTTAGATTTCTTGAGGATGCATCACAAGTCCATTCTAGTCCCACCACTCCCACTGAACATAGGAGACATACACAGGATCTCTCTCCTACTTGAGGCAAAGGGAAGTGTCACCTCTTACATAATACCTTAGTGTAACTAAGAAGTTAGGGAGTGTGCAACTTGGGATGCGGCTCAGAGCTAGAGTGTGTTTTGCTCATGTATGGCACGAGGTGGTCTAACACTGATAAAAAAATTTATACAACCTGTTTTGGCCACTTCCTTGGAAAGTTTCTATGAAGATTAATGGAGTGTTTGCTGTAACATGTGAATTAGTTGATATATGATTGGTATCATTTGTCCTGTGGTTTCTGGGGTGAGCCGTGCAACAGTTATGGGAGTTGTTAGATTCTGGCATTCTCACCTCAAGAGTGAGCATCAGTCCCTTGCGCCCACCGTTCCAGGCTGTGTGAGGCTCTCGACACTGCTCTTCCTTCCCCCATCAAATCCCACGCACACTGCCTCACGTCCCACAGTCCAGCATTTCCTTCCGTTGCTCTTGTGTGCTCTCTGTGAATTTGGAGGGAGCGTGTGGGCCTGCTGGACCAACTCACCTCCAGAAAGAACCTCTCTGGCTTGGCTTTGTGCTTTGGTTTCAGAGTGGCATAGGTTTTGAGTGATCTGCCCCAACACTATTTTCCCATAAACTGTGTTATTTTTAGTGTATAATTTTCCAAAATTGAGACTGGAGAACATATGCATGCTAAAGGAGAAACATCTGTACTTTATTTGGGAAAATGCTCTGTAGCTAAAACTTTTTTTTATTTCTTGGTAGGGCAGGGAGATGATTTAAAAACAAAAACAAAAACATGGGCTCATATAGTGCAACCTGGCTGTATCTCACTGAATAACTGAGAGCTGGTGTTAGCGCCTAATCCTCCTGCCTCTACCTCCCAAGTTTGGGGATTACAGGAGTGTGTTACCGCTAGCACACCCTACTAAAAAATGTCCTGTTGGCGTCTTATTTCAAGTTCAGTTCCAAAGTAAAGAAATTACTAACCTTTTAAAAGGTGTATTAAATATTTCCTGTCATACTTCTTTAGTTAGGCATATAAATCACTATATAGTATGTTGTTACTTAGAATGGCATACAAGAAAGCTGGCTGTCCATTTAGCTGGTTTCAGTCATAAGAGCTGTCTGTATAGCTTATCTTTATAAGCACAATTAAATAAAAAATACAGATTGTGCTCTTTGGAGAAAAACAGAGACTGCAGTATCAAAAGATACTTCAATTTCTCCTATCAATTGTTTTATCTTAAAAATAAATAAAAGCATCGGAAGTTTCTTGAATAGTTTCATTTGGCCTAAAATGATGAAGTATTTTAAAATAACAATTGTGGCTGTAGTCACAGATTCAGTCATTAATTTAAGTCATGAATTTCATTACTCCCTAATCACTGTCTTTTTTCTTCAGAGCAAACCAGCAGTTCCCTGACTTCATTCTTCTCCTCCAGATCTCATTTCTAAGGCTCTGAGACCTAGAAAGCCATATGATTCGGTTTAAGCACATTCTAAGTATGTTTGGAGTGGGCCAGCTCTATGCTTTGTTTAGTTCAAGAACAAAAAGAGCCACTCTGCTTTAAATTACAGCCCCAAAAGACAGATGTAACAAAACTTTCAGTGATGTTATACATGGATTGCTCCCAGTGCCCCCACCATGCTTTTTCAGAAAACTATTTTACTAATATGGGAAATATGACCTACAAAAATTCCTGCATAAATAATTCATGGAAAAAAATTGGAATGGTCTTTTGATTATTCATTTGGGGGTGTAATGTAATTACATCATTACCTCTTTCTTTTCTTTCCTTCCAACCCTCCCATCTTCCCCTCCTGACTCTTTCAAATTCATGGCCACCTTTTTTCATTTTTCATTCATTATTAGTGTGTGTGTGTGTGTGTGTGTGTGTGTGTGTGTGTGTGTTCATTCCTAGATATGTAAGTACACTCTGCTTAGTCTGTATAATATTCCTTGTATGTAAGTTTTCAGGGCTGACCATTTGGTATTGAATAACCTGTTGGTGTGTTCTTCCCGGGGAATAGATTTTTGCCTGTTTTCAGCATATGAATTTCTCCCTTTTAAGATTCTTAGCAGAGCTTTCAGGGACTGCTTTCATTGGTCACCAACTGGTAAACTTAGGCTTAGACCCGCTCACCATCTATATTGTCATGTTCATAAAGAACACACACAATTTAATTCTCAGTATTGGTTAAGATCTATAAATGTGAACCAGAAATGTTACCAACTTTGTTACAGAAACCTCAGAGGAGTGTCTCTTTAATAATAAGTTATCTAAAAATTTCACAACTCCATTCTTCGTGTTTATTAATATGATTTTGAGTGTTCAGTTTCATTTTTTTCCCGTTATATTGCAGCAATTAATCTGGCCAAAGGAAAAAGACATACTTACTTAGTTTTTAGGTTGCAACTCAGTCTCAGGGAGGTTATGAGTTGTAAAAACACACGTACAGAGGCAGGGATAGTGTCATGTGGCTGTTTTTATTTTACATGACAGAGTTGCATGGTGAGGGTGAATAGGAAAAATACTACTTCATAGCATATACTTTAAAAAAAAGCAGGCTCAGAACTAGGCATGTGTTTAAGTCATGTGACTGTATCTTCAGCATTTGTTCTTGAGAGCAGCTTCTGCTGGAAGAATACTAACAATGTTTTTCTTTTTATATAAAGGGCAACCAGATTCTCAGTGGCCTCTCCATTGAAGAATATAAGACCACACTGAAAATAATCAAGCAAGCAATTTTAGCTACAGACCTAGCACTGTACATTAAGTAAGTTTTCAGAGAAGATGCCCTCCAAAATAGGTTTTAAAGTGTTTTTGTATCCGCACTGGGAAATCCTTATAAAGAGAAGCATCCAGAGAGCTGTTACCTGACTGGTAATTTTTAGAGGCTGTCAAAGAAGTCTCCTCCACTGTGCACTCATTGCTCAAGTGGTAGCACAGGGCTATTCACGACGACCTTCAGGTGCGGTGTCTCTGGAATTGCCTTGAGGTGTCATTGTAGGAATCTCCCCCCTTTACACAAGGATTCACGGCAATGGTATTAGTCTTTGCCATGACGAGTTAAACAACTACAACAGGCACACACAAGTTACACCGCGCATCCACTGCTCAGTGTCTGCTTTATTTGAATGTGTCTGCTTTATTGAAATTTGGGTCACTTTAAGATTGATCACAGAAGAAGAAAATGCAGCAAACTTCAGATTGTTCAAAAGTAATTTCAGAATACTAATCATCAAGTCACACAGAACTTGAAAATTATCTTGGTCTACATAGGCTTCCCGTGTTTTATGCTATGTGGGTTTATTCTCTATATGTGGAACTTCCTTCCATTTTTAATAGTTAATCATACATAATTCATTTTATCTTGTAAGTTTATTGTTCGTTGGGTTGCATTTCTCAAGTCATTTGTTGTTGTTGGGCACACAGGAAGTATTCGTTAGACACAGATGACTTTATGTTTGTACATGACAAGAAATGTTATCTAAAACTTGCTCTTTGCTTCCAACATATTTAACATCTTCACTGTCTTTTAAGATGAAGATGAGTTAGAGACCTTAGACCCTCTTACCTTAGGCATGTAGAAGATCTTAAATCATTCCTACGATCACATTTTAATTCACACTATTCTATTTTTTAATAAAATGTGTTCTAGAGTTAAAATTGCTATTATTTTTCATCTGGAGTTAAAAATAATGAGCCTTTAAATAATTTCCATTGAAAGCAGATGAGGAAAGTGAATGTGGGGTGCTGAGTGAAGGAGGGGTACTGAGTGAGTGAAGGAGGGGTACTGAGAGCTGACGAAGCTTTCTTGTTGGTTCTGAGGTGGGGAAAATAGACATCTTCCTCAAGTATATATCCCACGAGTCTTGAGGACCAAGGGAGAAGACCCTGAGGACTCACCGTAATCACCATGTGTTTCTTATTTTTCAAGGAGACGAGGAGAATTTTTTGAACTTATAAGAAAAAATCAATTCAGTTTTGAAGATCCTCTTCAAAAGGAGTTATTTCTGTAAGTTGGCTTTAGTGTCTCTGCAAGCTTCGCTACTCAATTGATTTCCTCAGATCAGTTGTTAATTGGGATTATTTGTTATGTGTAATGACTCTTGAGGCTGCCCACTGCTCCAGAGTGTAGTACAAAGGCCTGAATGTGGACGTTGGCACGTTGAAATAAATAGACTGACTGACTGACTGATGGGTAGAGTAGAGGGGTGAAGCATTTATGGCCAAAAAGTTACCGTTTTGTTTCGTTTCTCTCATCCTTTGGAATAGAAAAGCGAAAGTTAACATCCTATACATTCAGAGAATTGAATGGTGGATGCAAAGTGTCCACTTTTCTTGGGCCATGACACAGGAGTGCTCTCCAGTGGGCTCTTCAAGATGAATGTTTCTCATTCTCAGTATACCAATCCCTCCCTTCTTCTAACCATGGATAATACCTCTGCTGCTACTTGCCACTGTCTTTGCCATGGCAATAACTTGTATCAGTAAAACAGAATCATGAAGCCACCAGAGTCCAAGCCATTTGGGAGGATGAAGGAAAACGATTACCACAAGTTCAAGGCCACCCAGGGCTATAAATGTTGAGGCCCTGTCTCAAATAATAAACCAAAACTAAGGTACCAAAAGTCAATAATAATGAAAGGTACTAAAGAAATACAGATAGTGTTGATACAATGTTGATGTTAACATTTCTTTAAATAGATTGAGGTTGCTCAGCCTGCAACACAAAAACACACAGTAAAAGGAGACAATACACAAGCACCTAGCCGACTGTTCTGTATAGTTGCGCTTTCCTTAATGTCAACTTCTCTTTCAGAATAGTGCCTTGCAAACAGTCAGGCCTGTTGTGCACTCTCTAACAACAAAGAGACAAATACAATGACGTTCCAAGTTTGAGCCAATTCTCCCTCTCACAGAGAGCATTTATGGTTAGTCAACTTAGGCAGGCACAGTTGTGCTGGCGAGTTTGGTTGGACTCCCTTATGACAGTGGGTTCCAACTGTGATTAAAAATACCTCCAATACACTCGTTCCTATGGTAGAGTTAGTGTACGAGAGAACATGGCAACATTAGCCTCGTGTGGTTAGGGAGTCTGTGCCTTAGGTTGAACATCTCTAGAGGAACAAATAACACTTTGCTTGTTTGTTTTGCAGGAATAGCCTGTTTTCCTATTTCGTCAAACAAAGGGACTGTTGACAGTGTTAGGATGAAGCGTGAGGGGAACCTTGGCAGATTCCATGGCAAGTGAGGGTGACCGAGGTGGAGGGACAAACATACCAGGCAGACACAGCCTAAGTGAGAGGTTTTATTAGAAAAGGGAGGAAAGGGGGAAGGAAAGAGTAAAGAGACACAGAGACAGAGAGAGTACAGACGAGAAGAGCGAGACAGGAAGTCCTGTCTGCCCCAGGGGAGAGTGTTCTTTTAAAGGGGTCCTTTGCACCTGCGTGCAGACCAGTAGTCATGGAACCCTGGGCTGACCAGGGTACTGCCTGAATGCACTCTGCCAGGTGACAGGGGCAGGACAGCATGATGCCTGAGTCCTTACAGCCAGACATTTGGGTGTGACTCAGGGAAAGACAGTGCTGAAGTCAGACGTTGAGGTTAGGGATGTAGCTCCTCTGGTAGAATTCTTTTGTACCATTCACAAAACTTGGGTTTGATCCCAAGCACTGCATAAATAAAACATATATGGTCGTCCACACCTGTAATCTCAGAACTTTGGAAGTGAATCAGAGGTCATTCTTGGCTACATAGAAAATTGGAGGTATCTGGGAATACATGAGACCCTGCCCATCCCCCACAGGGTAATTCACACAGCTGTGTCATTCCATTCCAAGGCACATTGTACCATTCAACAATGTAAAGTTACTACATAGAAAGGCTTACAGGTGGTGAGTGAATGAAGGTGGCCCACTAAATGAGGACTGCCCTCGTTAGGATGTGTGATGTTTTCCATGTGATTAATCGGTATGCCTTTATCTCGTTATCAATGTGGAAAAACCAATGATCAGGCAAGCTTTTACCCCAAGGAAGAACTCGGGTATCACACAGGACAGACAACCAAACAGTGAGGCCGTGTCACAGTTACAACAGCCGGTTCCCAAATGTGTGCAATCTGTTGGTTCTTTGGTCTTCAAAATGTGGGACTTCTGTTGTTAAGCAGATTTTAATGTAAATTTTTATTGGTAACTACTTACTGAGGATAGATACTCACAAGATATGGGGTTTTCTCTTTCCTTTAATAGAGCAATGCTGATGACTGCCTGTGATCTCTCCGCGATTACCAAGCCCTGGCCTATTCAACAACGGGTATGTGCTCAGTGGAGACCAAAGTAACGTATAAAGTCAAGATAAGAGAAGTCTCTTCATTTAAAGCTAGCTCTGGAAATTTCCCCCTAATTTTAAGCAATATTAAAAGCAGATAATTGAACATGAAAATATTTCTCTTTTTTTAGAGATTCATTTACACTTAATATCTGTATAATACATTGAAAAAGATGGTATAAAACTAGCTGCTGGTTTAATTCCAGTGCTAATTACTTCTTGCTCACTTTGAAATATTTTTTTGAAGCATCTCCCTTTGGTCTTGAAAATTAGAAGAAGCAAGATTTCCTTGTGATTTAGCCTGTTAGACTGTCCCTCTGTTCTAAGGAGACATTAACAGGTAGATGTAGGGAGTGTTAATAGATGTTGATAAGGATCTGATCAAGAGGCCAGAAACAGATCCTTCCCTCTTAAATGAGAAGTAACTGTCACAACTGTTTTACAGAGGGAGTAGAGCAAAGCTACCAAAAATGGCAGGATATGCATTGTTATGTATACTGTATTTTTGTTTGGAGGGATTACATTCAAAACCATAATACACAAGCGAAGATTGTTGGCTTGCTTTTAAACAAAGCTCTAGGCTATATATCATGGATACAGCAAATGTGGACTTTTCTTACAAAACACAGATATGGAGGGAACAAACTGTGAACTGACGGTGTGTTTCAGTATAGAACCCCTGCCTACCATGTGCAAGACCCAGGGTTCTTTCCACAACCCTGTCTGGAAAGGCAACCTTGGCAGCTTCCTGCTCTATATTAAATGTGATAGTGTGCCCATTTCTGAGTAAAGGGGAAGAGAAAAGGGAGGCCGCCTTGCTGCTTTCTTCAGAATTAAACCCTTTTCAATATTTAAAAACAAAATTTAAAAGAAAAGGCCCCGCGGAAGTGATCTATAGATGTAGGGAAGGGTAGAATCAGCAGTTGAAGAGTCTGTGCCTGACGTGGACCATGGTGTTCAGAGAAGGGTATAATGTAGTAATTGGAGAGTCCATGCTGGACACAGAGCATGCTGTTTAACGACCATGTTGCTACTTACTGTCGTTAGCCCATACATGTGACTTCAGCTGTGGGCCTTTATTTCTTTTTGTATAAGATGGTGGCACACACTTCATAGCATTATTTTAATGATTCATACACGATACCTAAATGTTCAAAGTACATAATAAATGTACATAGCTGCTATTTCTGCCACTTAGCTGCAGTGAAGACAATAACATCCTAGGGTGTTTTTTTTATAACAAGTGGCAGCATTTACCCTTTGTTTATCTTACTCTTTCATATCTCTAAAGACAGCAGTAGGTAGAAGGCACTGCCAGGTTCACCTGACAGCTTGGGATGGGTCCTGACCTCCATCACATCGAATCTATTTAATTTGAAATCAGGAATGGAGATATCTCCAAAAGGTCTTGTATTGTTTAGGATTGTTTTTAAATTATCATTTTTTTATTTTAATTTTAAATAGCTTGTTTTACATGTCAATCCCAGTTCCCTCTCCCTCCCCTCTTCCCGCACTCCCCTTCCCCCCCTCCCTCCCACGCTATTGCCAAATCCTTCCACATAGGGGATATCTAGAGTCTGTCATTTTACTCTTGGTAGGGTCAAGGCACTCCCCTAAGAGTCCAGGCTGAGAGAACATCTCTCTTTGTGCTATAGGCACATGAAGACAGTTTGTATACCAGGGATAGACACTGATCCACAGCTCAGGGCCCCATAGGTTGCCCAGGCCTTCTCACTGACACTCACATTTGGGGGGTCCAGATCAGTCCCATGCTAGCCTCCCCACTGTCGGTCTGGGGTCCAAGAGCACTCCCCTGTTCAGATCAGCTGTCTCTGCTGGTTTTGCCAGCCCATTCTTTGCCAATTTGCTCATCACTCCTCTCTCTCTGTCACTGGGTTCCTTGGGTTCAGTTCAGTGATTAGTTGTGTGTTTGCCTCTGCTTCCATCAGTCATAGGATGAAGGCTCCCGGATGGTTATAAATTCATCCTGTGATTGTAAATTCATCCTGTGATTGTTTTTAAATTAACTATGCTGAGTTTTTTGTGTTTTCACGTAAGTCTAAGATTATTTTTTCAATTTCTGTGAGAAATTGTGTTGGAATTTTGATGGGAATTAGGTTGAATCTACTGGCTACTTTCAGTAGGATGGCCATTTTTCCAATGTTAATCCTACAGATCCGTGAGCTTAGGAGATGTTTCCATCTTCTGGTGTCTTCTTTAATTTCTTTCTTCAGTGTCTTAAGGTTTTTATTATATAACCATTTCACTTCCATATATATATATATACATATATATTTTTTAAATTTAAGTTTTTGAGAATGGGATTGTTTTCCTTATTTCCTTATTTCTTTGTCAGTATGTTCTTTGTTTATAAAGAAAAACTACTGATTTTGTGTGTTAATTTTGTATCCTGCTATCAGCTGTAGTTTTCTGGTGGAGTCTTTAGGGTCTTTTATGTGTGGAACCACATGATCTGCAAATATGGATACTTTTACTTCTTCCTTTCCTATTTGTATTCCCTTTACCTATTTCTTCTGTCTCATTGCTCTAATTAAGACCTCAAGATATTTAATAGGAGTGGAGAGTGGACATCCTTGTCTTATTCCTAATTTTAGTGGAAATGCTTTGATTTTTCCTCCATTTAAAACAATGTTTGTTGTGGGCTTGTGGTAAATTTGCCTTATTGTGTTGTTATATGTCCCTCATATCCCTAGTCTCTCCAGGACATTTATCATGAAGGGATGTTATACTTTATTGTAGGCCTGTTCTGTATCTAAGATGTTCATGTGATTTCTGTCCTTGAGTCTACTTACATCATGGAATACATTTATTAATTTATGTACATTTATTAAATTAAGTATACTGAACCATCTCTGTATTGTTTGAATGAAGCTAGCTTGATGGTGGTGGAAATAATCCTTTTGATGAGTTTTTGAATTGGATTTACAAGTATTTTATTGAGAATTTTTTGCATCTATGTTCATCATATATATTTGTCTATAATTTGTTGCTGTGGTTGAGCCTTTGTCTGGCATTGGTGTCAAGGTAATATTGCCTTCATTTAAAAAAATGGAAACAATCCTTCTATTTCTATTTCGTAGAATAATTTGACAGCTATTGCTATTGGCTCTTCTTTGAATATATAGTAGGATTCTTTTCTCAATCCATATGGCTCTGGGCTTTTTATAGTTGGGAGCTTTTTTTTAAATTACTGTTTCTATTTCATTGGATGTTATGGGCCTATTTAAACTATTTACTTCATCTCAATTTAACATTGCTAGGTCATATTTGTTTAGAGATTCATCAATTTCTTTTAGGTTTTCCAGTTTGGTAGAATATAGAATATAGATTTTTAAGGTCTAGGCCTATGATTCTCTGAATTGCCTCAGTGTCTGTTATAATGCCTCCCTTTTCACCATTTTTTATTTTAAAAATAGGTTTATTTTATGTCTATGAGTGTTTTATCTGTATGTATGCACCATGTGCATGCCTTGTGTCATGGAGTCAGAAGAGGGTATCAGATCTCTTGGAACTGTCTCTCTGTCTTTGGGTTAATTTGACTAAAGGTTTATCAGGTTTTAATGTGTTGTTTGTTTTTTCCAAAGAACATGCTCTTCATTTAATAGATTCTTTGTATTCTTTTTTATTTTATTTCAGTAATTTCACCTCTGGGTTTGATTATTTCTTATCATCTACTCTTTTTGGGTGTTGTTATTTTTTTCTGGAGCTTTCAGGTGTATAATTAAATTATTAACATAAAATTTCTCTAATTCTTTTTATGAGGGCACTTGGTGCTGTAAACTTTCTTGGCACTGCATTCCTGGTTTCCCATAGATTTCAATATGTTGTGTTTTCATTTTCATTCTAAAGTAGGAAGTTTGCGATTTCCTTTGACTTCTCCTTGACCCAATTGTCATTCAGTAGTGTGCATCTTAGTTTCCATGGGTTTCTGTACTTTTTGTCATTTCTGTTATTGATATCTAGCTTTATTATTTTGTGATAAGACAGGATAAAGGTTGTCATTTAACTTTCCCTATATTTTTTGGGACTCACTTAAATGTCCTAATGTGTGGTCAGTTTTGGAGAAAGTTCTGTGGGTGCTGTGAAGAAAGTGTATACTTTGGTGTTTGGGACTTAAGTTCTGTAAATGTTGAATTTGATTTATGATGTCATTTAGCTCAAAAGTTTCTCTATTTGGTTTCTGTCTGGATGACCTGCCTGTTGGAGAGAGTATTAAAATCACCCACTGTTCTGTGTTAGAGTTTATCTATGATTCTGACCTCCAGACACACGCCTTGACACACATGTGCATACATTCATGCACAAATAAATAAAAATGTTTTAAAAAGATTTTAAAATAAATCGACTATGGAAGTAAAAATAGATAAACCTGATTTAGATTTATAAAAACAAAAAAGAATACCCTAAGAAAGACTAATTCATTCTAGGCAACTTTAAAACTGTAATTTCTAGACTGGAGAGAAAGCTTGACAATTAAGAGCACTTGTTCTTTCAGAGGCTGGGCTTCACCTCCAGCACTTACATCAGGCAGCTCTCAACTGTCTATAACTCCAGTTCCAGAGGCCCTAAAACCCTCCATAGACACCCACATGTAACAGGCCTTTCTCCTTGAACTTTCTTTGGACCACCAGCCCCTAAATAATGACATGGACACTTATTATTAATTATGAATGCTTGACCTTAGCTTAGGCTTATTCCCAACTAGCTCTTATAATTTAAATTAACCTGTTTATATTAATCTACATTCTGTCATGTTACCTCTTCTCCCTCTGAGTTTCAATGGCTAAATCCTAGTGCCTTGGCTTCTTCCTGAGTTCCTCTCTCTCCCTGGAAGTTCTGCTTATCCTCTCCTGCCTAGCTATCGGCCATTAAACCAATCAGAAAGTACCTTAGGCAGACACACATTCACAAGGTACAATAAGATTATCTCATAGCAGACACACACACACACACACACACACACA